AGCGTTTGAAGATAACTGCTTCGGCGTGGGCTCCGAGTCGGCCCCTGTTTGCCTTTTCGGCGATGCGAGTGGGGGCGAAGATACTTCTGACCCTCGCCTGAGACGTGTAGGATGTGGTTTGGCACAGTATTCTGATATTTCTGTTAATATGCAACTTGTTGCTTCTGTGTGGGGGGGCCTCCCTGGACCCGTCCAAACAGTTGCCAGGGGTGAGCTTCTTAGTTTTCTCACTGCGTTGATCGGCGCTGATGGAGTGGTGATCTATACCACCGACAACGCTAATGTGTGCTCTGGTTGGTATTGTGGCCGAGCATTCGCCCCAGAGGGGGAGGACGCGGATTTGTGGCAGCAGGTAGGCCAGGTACTCAGTAGAAAACCCAACCTTGTCTGTACTGTCGTTTTCGTGCATTCTCACCAAGAGGCATGCGACGTCCTCCAGGGCAGAGCTCCTTTGTATTTGGCTGTGGGTAATGCAGCCGCTGATAAGTTGGCGTCAGCAGCAGCACGTGCAGTCAGAATCCCAGCCCCGATTCGTACCAGAGTTCTCACGAATGAGAAGATGGCTTTCGCCGTCCGCATGCGAATTTTGCTCGCCACCCTGGAAACTTTCAAAGCCGAGCAGGCCTTGGCGGCCGAGGAGCCCCGCGGGACCCGCGCCAGGAACCCTGGGCCCAGGCCACCCGCGCCTGATGTCTGCAAAGAGTTTTCCACGGCTCATACGTTGTCTGAAAGCAGTCTCTCTTGTTTGAAGTGTAGGAGTTCAACTTCTAAGGCTAGGAAAAAAGTCTGGTTGGATACCCCTTGCTTTGACCTGAGGGCTGTAGATGGCGTTGTGTTCAGACCGCCCCCCCGTTGCAGGGTGCACATCTGTGGGGGGTGGGCTGATGAGACTCACAGTTTACAATATCACGCTGGGCTGGGGATCTGGTTCTGCAGAACCTGTGGTAGTTATGCGGCCCAGCAATTGGCCCAACTCGGGAAGAGGTGCGATGGCAGACCTGCAAGTAATCGGGTAGATTATTTGAAGAATATCGAACGGGGGATCTGGCCTAAAGCTTACAGCAAAGCTGATTAGGCCAGAA